GCTCACGTGCTATGCTTCAGAGAGACAATCCCCAGGCCACAGAGTGATGAGCGTGGACACTTACATCCATGGGCAGATGAGGTGTAGACTCACGGTTGCATTCTTTCTTCTCTTCCATCTCCATTCTCTCTAGAAAAAAGAAACAAAAAACATTGAACTAGTATTCAGGACATCCGACTTCTAGTTTGTACCCTGCTTTCTAACTGAGTGGCCTTGAGGATGCCACTCAACTTCTTTAGACATTGGTTTCCTTATGTGTGAATGAGAACAAGGGACTGATTTGAGAACAGCAAATATACTACCCGCATGTGCCCAGTCACCCAACTCATGCGAGGAGCAGGCATCGCTAATGAATGATAGCACTGCTATAGCTACATGGTGATGAATTGATCAGCACAGAAAAGGGCATCTATTTGTCGTCCTTGCGTGGGATGATGTGTAAGGTCTGTGAAGGCAGTTGTTTGAAATGTCAAAGTGGAATTGGTTGTCAGTGGGCCAGACTTTCATCTACCTAGATTTAGGAAAGTCCCACTGGAAGGAAGGGGGATGGCTAAAATGACCTTAAAATTCCCCAATGTATCTATGATCCTGTAGCCACTGAACTCAACTAAGCCAACATCTATTAAACATCTATTGTGATCAAAACTCTCTGCTAGGTGACAGTAAAATGCAAAGATAAATGACAGTCCCTGGCCTCGAGAGACTAAAAATCGACTAGAGGAAGCAGATAGAATGGAAAGGCAGGACCGTCTGACCAACCAGGTATCCCTTCTAGAAGGTGCAGACCCTTGCCTCTGATCCCAGAGTTGTTGACCTCAAACAACTCATTTCCAGAGCGTTTGGGGAAAGATTCTATCTGAACACAGTCGAGGCTAAGAAGCAGTGACATGGTGCAGGGATAAAGGCGAAGTGAGAAATGGTCGGAATCTACATCAGGAGCAGAGAAAAACTATGGGCTCAGCAGCCCCAGCCGAGTCACCACGCTGAAATCTGGGTGCTTGTCATGGGAAACCGCAACCAGGGCCCAGGATCAGGTTCATCACTGGGACTGGCTTCCTCTGAATGCCAGCCTGCCGAGGTGGTCAGATGGGTGTGACATGGACAGGAAGTTCCTGCGCCCTTACTTCCCAGCTGTGTGGTTTTGGCATCATTCAAGTCCTGCGAACCTCAATTTCTTCATGTGTAACACAGGGATATGTTAAGGATCATTCCTCAGAGGTGACGCAGTTAGCACATAGTTAGTGCTCAGTAAACATGAGCTATGGTCATCTTACTGTTAGACTCATTCGCAAGTCTGTGTCCACAGAGATTGTGTGCTTTAGATCTCAGACAATTTCAGGTAGAATCTTTATCCGTTAGATTTTGGTTTCTTTGCAGTAGATTCTGGCAGGAATCTTAGAAATCATTTACTCTCACCTCCAGAAAGAATTCAGAGTATATGTGTTTCCATTTGTATTTCTTACACAAAGCGAAAGCCTCCACACTAGGAGTCGGTGCGTGACACATGGAGAAATCAAACAAACAGCAAGTCCCAACCAAGCAGCAGGTGGACGGTTTTCCAAGCGGCTGCTCATGCCCAGGTGGGTGGTTGTGGTAAGCATGGGAGGCTCGGTGGGGCAGCCTTTCCAGTAACATTCAGGCGACTTTTTATTACCAGGGAGATCTAGGGCAGGAGAGGGAGAGGGAGCGGGTGGGAGCGGGGGAGAGAAGGAGAGATCTTTTGCTCCCCTAGCAGAAACAGGTTTGCAGTACAAACATTGAAGATGAGCCATGCCTTCTTCCATTCTAGGATTTTGACAAAAATGTGCTGCTGTACAGCGGCAGAGCAGAGCATCCATCTAGCCAGAGCTATGGAGATCCTGGTGAGGAAAAGTCTAGATTTAGCTTGAAGACCTTCCCCTGGTAGCGAGGCTCTGTTTGCTGGGCTTTCCCTGCTGCTAGCCGTTCTAATGTAGCTCTCTGAGCAGGTTCGGCTCCTTCGCCCCTGGGAGCCAGAAGGGACAAGGGGAGGGGAGGGCCTCGCTCAGCAGATGCGTCCGGGCCACAGGGAGGGAGAACAGCGGCTTCCCTCCTCCCTCCTTTCCTTCCTTCGTATCTGCTGGAATAGCTGTGGCTGCCGGTTTCCAGCCCATTTCCCCGCTAGGCGGGGATCCAGCCCCTCAGCCCAGCCTGGGGGGATTGGGTCCCTGAACTCCTAGGCCAGGTTTTGCCCGCTGCTTCTCTACAGGGTCTGCGCCCCGCTCCCAGCGGTCCTTGCAGCAGTTTGCACAGAACTTTCTGGCTTCTGACCCTTGTTCTTCCGTGGCACCGAGACTTCCTTGGCCGCTCACCATTCCTCTTCCCCAACCCGTGGTAGGGCAGGTCTGGGTGTCATCAGCGGCCCCCGGGTGTGATTTTAGGTTAGCTACTGCCCTTGGATTCGGTGATGGCAGCTGGCTGCCCTGCTTGACAAAGGGGCCCCCTGTGTTCAGGTTAGTGCCTTTCACTCCATTTTGAAGGATCTTTGGAATAAGTCCTTGCATGTGCCTTGGATTAATCCAGACCTGGCTTTTGCAAAAAATAAAGTGGAGTCATATTGGTTCAACCAGCAGATGTTCTGCTCCTAGATAAGGCTTCTCCCTCAGGTGTGGCGAGGGCTTCAGAGGGGGCCAAGACACAGTTCTGGCCCCAAAGGGAGTCTCAGTTGTGGGAGAGGTTGCAGTGGAAAACTGGGGGGTTAGGAGTGGTTTGGCCCTTTGTTCCTGGGGAAGTCCAGCTCGCACTGGCCAGAGGAAGCTGCATAGTGGCGGAGAGAGTGACGTGCACAGGGTTGACCACAGCAAACTTGGGAAGCCAGAGACATTGTCTTTAGTGCGTCTCAATGGAATCGGGTTTGAGTCTAGGCTCTGTAGGTGACCTTGAGCAATTGACCCATCTTTTCTGAGATTCAGAAATGGAGAATGTATCTCCCTTACACAGTCATCAGGATAAAATGTGGAATGTGAAAGCACTTTGGAACCATATAATCCTACATAAGTAGCAGATATAAGTGGTCTAACGACCTTCCTCCTTCCTGTTCCCGAGCTCTTCCTCCCAATCCATCACAACATTCTTCCCATGTGCTCGGCTCCCATAATTCTTCGGGAATTTTCTCCAGACCTTTCCCTTCTTGGGAAGAACCTATTCCTCATTTCTATTCCAAACCTCCACTAATTGACAAAGAGCAGAGGATTGGATAAACTAATTTACATTAAGGTGTGTATGAGTCTGCTAGAGTTGCCATAACAAAATACTGTAGACCGGATAGATTAAACAACAGCACCTTATTTTTTCTCAGTTCTGGAGGCCGGAATTCCAAGATCAAGGTGCTGGCAGGGTTGGTTTCCTCTGAGGCCCCTCCCTCTCCTTGGTGTGCAGATGGCGGCCTTCCCAAAGTCTTTTCTCTGTGCTTACACACCCCTGACATCTCTTTATGTGTCCAAATGTCCTCTTCTCATGAGGATGCCAGTCGGATTGGATTAGGACCCACCGTGAGATGTCGTTGAACTTCAATTACTTCTTTCTTTCTTTCTTTATTTTTTTTAAAGATTTTATTTATTTATCAGAGAAAGAGAGACAGAGGCAGGCAGAGGGAGAAGCAGGCTCCTTGCTCAGCAAGGAGCCCGATGTGGGGCTCGATCCCAGGACCCTGGGATCATGACCTGAGCCGAAGGCAGACGCTTAACCGACTGAGCCACCCAGGCGTCCCTTTAATTACTTCTTTAAAGGTCCATTCTCTAAACATGGCCACATTTTGGGCCTCTATGGGTTAGAGCTTCAACGTAAGACTTTCGGAAAACACAATGCAGCCCATAGCAAAGAGTTAAGAATCAACGATCTCCTCCTTCTAAAGTTGCTTGCATTGGTGGCGAGGATGCTGAAGGAGGAATCATAGAGGAAAGGAGGACTGGATACAGGATGGTAGATTCTAGCATCTCATGACCAGTTGGGTGTGGGGGGGGTGGATTTTTGGCTGGGGATTTTCTTGGCACCCTTCACAGACCAACATAGAGGCAGCCACCTGCTCTGCCCATGAAACACGGCTGGCGCTGGGTAGATGGACTGCATTTCATTTTCTTCCCGGATTCCAAAGAAATAAGCCACTCTCACCTCCCTGCCTCTAAGGAACACCAGTATTTTTTAAATAGTTCCTTGGACAGCAGCTGTTTCAGCCCTGCCTGGAGAATTGAGCCACCAGCCTTGCCAACTGTTGAGTACTACAGGGAGAGGCATTATGTGAGTCTGAGAAAGGAAGAACTCCAAAGTGTTCAGCAGAAGGGCACAGCCCTGAACCGGCTGCCACTTCTCCGAGTCGGGGAGCCAGCCCTGCTCCAGCTGCAGCCAGCAGTGGAGATAAATTACCTGCTGTGGTTTGTGGGGGAAGCAAGAGAGAAAGGGGATTTTTTTTTTTTTTAGCTTTTTGTAAAAAGAACCCGGTTCTTGCCTTGGGTCACTCAGAGACTCAGTGCTAGAATCTGGCTACGTTGTTGGCAGAAAACAGCCAACTGAGCCCAGCAGCGATCAGTGTCCTTCAGAGAGGGCGTCAGGACTCCACCTGTCCCCTGGAGAGACGGGGTTTCTCCAAATGATATTTCCGACTCATCCTTCTGTGCCTGGGAGGGACAGAAACTTTCATCATCACTCTGCTTGAAGAAAATGTGTGTGTGTGTGTGTGTGTCCGTCCGCACGCGTGCACACGCATGCACAAACACCTTCACCACTGCAGCCTTTGAATTCAGAGATCTGTCGGAGCTTTTAGAAACAAAATACTCAACAAATGAAAAATAATTTTAGCTTGCGAATCAGGAGGGATTTCCTTATCTCTTGCTAATCTGAGAGGAAGGACCTTTCATATCTAAACACGCACACACACACACTCGCAGCTGATTTTGTGCATTAAAAACAATAGAGGAAATATTTTGCTCCAGCCTCTCTGTCCTTGTTCGCAGGAAATGAGGCTCACCACATCCAGGCCATCATCATAAGCACTGCTTTCTTCTTAGTTTTTATACAGCTCTCGAGCTATAATCCAAAGCCTGTTGTTTACATTTGCAGCCTGCAAACAGCCTGCTAGGGAATGGCCCAGAATCCATAAGGAACTGCAGGCTTTGCCAGTGGGAGTCACCTGCTGAATTCCGCGGTCAGACAAGACCCGGGGAAGCTTCTCCATCTGTCTGCAGTGGGAATCGTTGCTGCCGGGGCAGAATGACGGAAGTTCAGAGAAGACTGCGGGCCTCAGGCCGTCAGAGAGGTGAGGGAGGTAGCTCCTTCCCTAGGACGTGATTTGTAGTCATTTGCTGAGAAACTTCCCTTGCTGTGTTGAGCTGCAGCTGTCGGGATAAAAGGTGCTTTCTCAGAGATAAAGAAGGCCACCACCTTCAGCCAAGAGAAAGAGGGAAGAAGAATAGATACAGAGAAGCTAAGGGGAAACTAAGATTCTGTTGCCCGAGAGAAAGAAAGGAAGCAAAGGTCTCCTGGTGCCGGGATTGAAATAGGAAGTAGATGGTGAAAAGCAGACCTTGTGCGGGGACACATGGGCGGAGTTACATGCTGGTGACAAAGAGCCCCACTGTTTCCGCAGCTTCAAACAACACAAGTTCATTTCTCAGGCACGTTGATTGTTCTTCGCAGACCAGCCGGCAGCTCTGTCTCTTGTGAACATACAGGAACTGGGCCCGTGGAGGCTCCATCTTGACTTTGAGGCAAGAAGATAAGAACATGCACGAAGTTTCTATTGAGCACCGGGTCTTCAAGCTCCCACACAAAATAGATGCGGCTGTCACGTGTCACTACCATGGCAACACTGGCTCACAGCTAACTTCCAATCCTAATGACTACCCCAGCAAGCATCACCAAATGAGAGAAGAATGGAGGAAGACACAGGGAGTGGTAACGAGGGTGACACACATCAGAGGGGCGGGGGGGGGGGGGCAGGAGTGGGGGATTGGGTGGGGATCCCTGCATATATCCAGGAGGGTGTAAATCTGGCAGGGACGTAATGTCACCATGTTCCTACATATAAAATCTTGAGGTCAGTACAACCTTGCTCCTAAAGATGCTGAACTGTGATGTGGACATGCGTGCGCATGCACACACGAAGCCATCGATTCTCGTCAGTAAGGTGGTATCAATTTGGGCCCATTCTCCGACACAGGTTGGACAATGTCAGAACTTTTCACAATGTCTTTTGTCTCTTGTTTTCTTTCTCCATCTTTGGGTCTCTCCTTCATCTATTTTTTTCTGGCCTAGCTTCCAGTTTGCATATTTTCTTTTGTGCTCTATCTAATCTGATATTAAACCCATCCAGTGTGGTCTTCATTTCAATGATGATATTTTTCCACACCAGAATTTCCATTTGGTTCATCTTTTATAATTTTTAACAGAAATTTCCAGTTATCCATCAAAATCCTTCACCCTTTTATTTCTTAAACATGTTTGTCATGGTTATTTTGAAGTTTGGGTCTGCTTTATGATCTGGACCTGCTGTGGGTCTGTTTCTATTGTCTATTTTTGTCTTCATTTTTGGTCATGTTTTATCTTCTCCACGCCTAATTATGTCTTAATGAGTGCCGGATATTGTATATGAACATCTGCAGAGATCATTTGAGGCTTTTGATGCTGTGATATTCTTCCAGAGAGGATGCACTTTTGCTTCTGGCAGTCATCTAGGCTACAAACACTCACAATTCCAGATTGCCTTAATTCAATCAAGGATTTAGATTATTTGAAATTGAGCTTCAGACCCTGACAGGGCTGGTCTGTTGGTTCACACTTATTTCCAAGGCAAATGATAGCCTTGGATATTTTCCTGGGCTTCCCTCCTCTGCTGTTTCTGAAACCCATGGTGTCTCTGTCTCTCTCTGTCTCTCTCTTTTTATTTGAAGTATAATTGACACACAGTTTGAAGTATAGCACACACAGTTCAGGTATACGACATAGTGATCTGACAATTCTATAGGTTATGCTCTGCTCATTACAAGCAAAGCTACCATCTGTCCCCATACCATGCCATTACAATATCATCGACCATATTCTTTATGCTTGTACCTTTTATTCCCATGACTTATTCATTCCATAACTGGAAGCCTGTATCTCCCACTCCTCTTCACCCATTTCACCCAGCCCCCACCCCTACCCCCACCCCCTGCCTCTCTTCCCTCAGGCAACCATCAGCTGTTTCTCTGTATTTCTAGGTCTGATTCTGCTTTTTGTTTGTTTTTCATTTGGTTTGTTTTTTAGATTTCACATATAAATGGCATGATGAAACCCATAGTCTCTTGCTGTGTGGAGAACTCCACTCAGTTTTTCAGGCCTTAGGCCTCCACGTTCAGAATTTGCGTACGCCTCTGAGGACAAGTTCTCCCAGGCACCAGGCTCACCCCTTGGCCTCCTTTCTTTCTTAGAACTGCAATTCCTTGCTGCTTTCATAGCTCTCTGGTCCCTCCAAACAGATGTTGTTACAGCTACACCAGTCTTCCTAGCTGTTCTTGGGGGGAGAACCACTTCCAGAAGTGGAAAATTCGGGAAGTGACATTAGGACGGAGACCTGAGTGCAGAAGAGCTGGCATCGTCAGGATCTGGGGAAGAGTGCCAAGGCCGGGAGGTATATCAAGAACAATCATTTGCGGTGAGTGAAAAGCGTGGCTGTGTTCAAGGAGCAGATAGGCCACTGTGGGTGGGGATCGGTGAACGAGGAGAACGGTATGGCAAGAGGCCAGCCAGGTAGCAGGGCCCAGATCGTGTGGGTGCTGGAGGCCGCGGAAAGCAACGTAGGTCTTCCCCTAAGGAAGATTCAGAGGGATGTGGACACAGTGCTCCATATGTTTGTGGCATCAGCTGCTGCCATCATGGCACTTGTCGTTACCATAGGGTGGTTCATGGAGGGTGTTCAGTTCACAGGAACTTGAAATAAATGACCTGAAGGTCCTACTTGTAGACCTGAAAACTAACAAAAAGTCCTAAGTTTTTGGTTTATCCATAAACCAGGCAGTTTCCCTACATGAGAGCATGTGGCTATGGAGAGCAAATAGGAACAAATTGGCAATGCCATTCATTGGCACTGGGGCTCTGCCGGGGCTCCAGGAAAATGGCCGGTTGACTGGATGCTTTCCCCCTTCCCTGTTTTCTTTTCCTTCTTCCTCCTTCCTTCTCTCCATTACTGTTGCTTTCAGGCCATCCAGTGAGCCAGCCAAAGTCCCCACAATGTCTAGGCCTTCCAGAAAGCTCAAGCCAAGCCTCCTGTTCCCTGAGCTTTATGACTCCATTTACTTATGGATCGCTGCCTTGGAGGGTAATAAATACGCATTGAATAAATGTGTGACTGAGTGTCTGGGCAAAGTAATTCACAAAAAGGTCTACTATACTTGACTCTCTCCGGAGAGAAATGTGTTTACCTAACTGAATGTATTATCCCTAGGTGACGTCTCAGAGCTAATTTTGAGCAGAATTTCAAAGTAGTTTTCTTTTCTCAGGAAGCGTTCCAGGGACTAGAAGGCCTGATCTCAGCACAAAACCCTGATAATTGAGCTCAAGTCCTCTCTCACCATTTGGAAGTGGCTCAGCACAGTCAAGAAGCTCAAGGAACAGAGGTTACTGCTTCTGGGGACGCGCTTTGGCGTGGGAAGGTAGGTACTAAGACATTCAAAACTGGAGATCACGTCTCCATGAATGCAAGGGACTCACACATCACGTTCCGTTCATAGGAACTTGAAATCAATGATTCAAAGTCCTACTTGTAGATCGAAGACCTTATCCAGGGCCGATCTTCTTCTCTGTGCTTGAGGATCTTAATTTCATACAGTCATATGATTGGTCTGAATCCAGGAATGAATAGCTGCAGGGTTATTCCCCCAAGAGATATCTCTGAAAGAGTGAGAAGAAAAAGGAGAAGGAAAATATCTTTCTCTATATTAACATTTTCTCTAATGGCATCTTCTCATACTGTGTCCTTCAGGCACATGTCACCCGTAGTGAAGATTTTCTGGGCTTGTGACTGTGTCTTGGGCAGGAAATCAATCCATTCCATTTAAGGGGTACAGCAGGCCTGGTCATGCTCAGCTGGGTGTTTCTTACCTCCTCTCTCTGGCTGATGATGTGCCCTTGATACAGCTGTGTGTGCAATCTACTGTCTTTTCTGGAAGTACTGGTTCATTCACAATCCGGAGCCCTTCGTAGAAGACATGTCGCCTTGTTTTGTTGTGTCCTGTGACACGTTCGATGAGCTGAGCAGCATTCTGATTGTGTCATACCAGGAAGGTGGCTCAATACTGAGCTCTTTGACAAGAGAATTCAGTGGCAGAAATCTTCAAGAACAACAGCTCTGGGACCCAGAAATGGTGCTGTTTTCCTGCCCCATAGCTTCAACTCAGGCAGTTAGGATCACCGATGGCAGTGGAACAGAGGGCCCTCCTGGCAGCATTCTTAAATCTGATTCTAGAATAAATAGAGTCATCGCACAGGAAGTGCCTGCAAACAAACGTCTTGCATCCATGAGGATGAGGCTCTGTTTCCCGCCTGACCTGCCTCATTGGCACGGGGCCCATCCGTCTGAGCAGAGTTAGGTAAGAAGCATCTCATGGGAAAGAAGTGAGCAATGGGAGAAGTGAAGTGATTTACTCGAGATCACAAATCAGTGCCGGATTTTCCTGAGAGAACCTAACTTCCTATTCCCCAAACTCAAGATATGGAAGCCTGCTGTCAGCCAGGCTGAAGGGTCCAAGGGGCCGAGTATTGATTCATCGATGCACTCAGTGATTTTTGGGGGAAGGGGTACGGGCATTTCTCATAGCTGCCGACAAGCTGATGTGGCCCCACTGTCACAGAACCTTCATTCGAGAGGGAGAGACAGACAATACATAACAGACAAACAGCAGTGTGATCAATACTATGATGGATCCACACAGGCTGAGGCTCGGGAGTTTCTGAGAGCGGTCAGGGAGGCACCTCTGAGGAGGGGGGACATTCAGGGTGCCAAGACCAAAGGGAGAGCTGGAGCCCACCAAGCCCAGGTGGCAGGACGTGGGGATGCAAAGTGGGGGAACAGTTTGACATGTTTCCGAAATTATCACGGTCTCACTAGCCTGGCAGTGTGATGAGCAAAGGGCAGAGCAGCAAAAGATGACGAGGGACAAGGGAGCTGCCGGGCTGGGCTGGACTCTCTCATAGGTTAGGGACTTGAACTTTTCTCTGAGCACCAGGGGCAGCTAGCAAAGCTTCCCAAGCAGGAATGGCCACAGTCTGATTGTACTTTTAAAGGATCCGTCTGGATATATATGGAAAACTTAGACTTTGAGGGACCAGAGTGGCAACAGGAACTTACTGCATCACCAGGAGATGATGGGGGCGTGGACCAGGTGGTGGCCATGGGGTGGCGGGAGTGGGCCGAGGCTCGTTATATTTTGGGTGTAGAATTGGCAGGACATACAAATGGTGGGATGTTGGGGTGGGCAGAATGAGAGGACGGAGGAGCCCAGGATGTTACCTAGATTCTTGGCTTCAGCAACTAGCTGAGTTGAGAGAGAGAGCAGAACCCACCCTCAGCAAGGTGCCTCTCTCGTGGCGAGGAAGACAAGGGGAGAAACAGGTTTGCAGGATAGGAAATCAGAGTTCTGCTTTGCACATTCTCTCCAAGTGCAGAGGTAAAGCAAGCTGTCGAATATATACATCTGGTACTGAGAGGCGTTGTTGGGGTTGAAGAGAAGAATTTGCCAGTCACCAAGATGTAGACGGTATTTAAGGAAATTGGAATAAACTAGACTACCAGGGAAGAAAATGTAGCTAGAAAGCAGATGTGAAACTCTTCTGAGTTTAACTGTCTTATGGGGAAGAGAAGCCCACGGGGTGACTATGCAGGTATATTTGTTTGCTGTCGCACCACAACCAACACCACAGATGTGGTGGAAAGGCATCTATGCAATGGGAGAAAATATTTGCAAACCGCAAATCCAGTCAGGGGTTAATGTTCAAAATATACAAGGATTCGTACAACTCAATAGCAAAAAACCCAAACAATCCAATCAAAAAAAGAGCAGAGGAACTGAATAGACATTTTTTCCAAAGAAAACATACTACAAATGGCCAACAGGTCTGGGCAAAGATGTTCAACATTAGTAATCACCAGGGAAACAGATCAAAACCGCAATGAGGTGATCGCCTTATACCTGTGGGCCTGATTGTCATAAAAAGACAGGAGGTAGGGGCGCCTGGGTGGCTCAGTTGGTTAGGTGTCCGACTCTCAATTTTGGCTCAGGTCGTGATCTCGGAGTCACGAGATCAAGCCCCCTGTCGGGCTTTACACTGGGCATGGAGTCTGCTTGAGATTCTCTCTCTCTCTCTCTCTCTCTCAAAAGAAAGAAAGAAAAAAGAAAAACAAAAGACAGGCGATAATGTGTTGGCGAGGGTGCGGACTAAAGGGAACCCTGTGCACTGTTGGGTGGGAATGTGAATTGGTGCAGCCATTGTGGAAAACAGTATGGAGGATCCTCAAAAAATTAAAAATAGAACGTCCCTAGGATCCAGCCCTGGGACAAGCCGTGTGCAGATGTGACTGTGCCAGGTGGAGGGAGCCTGCAGGACAGAGGCTCTGAGGTTTGAGGAACAGTAAGAAGGCCAGTAGAAACAAGAAGAGTTAGAAAGAGGGGGAGAACATCAAAAACTAATGATGTAATGTATGGTGATTAACATAACAATAAAAAATTAAAAAAAAAAGAAAGAGGGAGAGAGCAAGGAGATAAGATCAAAAAGAGAGGTGGCCCAGACCGTACAGGACCCAGGAGGCCATGATAAGGATTTACCCAGGGTGCGATGTGAATCCCATGGGGGTTTTGAGCAGTAAAATAACGACTTTTGATTTTTAAATGAAATTTTGAAATAATTTCAGATTAATAGAGGAGTTGTGAGGGCAGTAGGGAGAATTCCTGTATACTCTCTGCTGGTGTCCAGGCCAGCCTTCCCCTCCCGTTGGGGTAATTAGGAGGCACACAGGCGATGCCGTGGGATTGGGACACGGTGACCCAAGGGATAGTTTGGTGGAGGACCCCACTATGTACAGGTCAGGATTTGTAGGTAGAGAACCAAACTACCTGTCTCCCACTGATTTTCAGTTTGCCCAAATTTCCAACAGGAAGGGGCACATCCCTCAGCAGCATCTACCCCACCTGCTGTACTCAAGGGACTTTGTTGCCAGGACTCTCTTCCTACAGCCCCAAGATGCCAAGGTTTCAGAAAAGGAAAAGTTTCTTATCATGAATCGTCAGGATTCTCTGGTTCATGGCCCTTTGTAAGAGGTGTTATTCTGCTGTGCACTTTTTCTCTTCTGTGTCCAGTGCCTCCCTGAGATGCTGAATACCCTTCCTTCCTTCCTTCCTTCCTTCCTTCCATCCATCCTTCCTTCCTTCCTTCCTTCCTTCCTTCCTTCCTTCCTTCCTTCCTTCCTTCCTTCCTTCCTTCCATCCATCCATCCTTCCTTCCCTCCCTCCTTCCTTCCTTCCTGGGATTCACACACTCAGTGGGATTCTCTCTGCCATCTGCCACTGTGGGTGAGCAGGAGCGAGTGCCCAGCCACTCAGTTGTGAGCCTAGCTGCCTCACCTTGCTGGCCAACAGGGCCCACCACGGCACACTGGTGGGGAGAGGTCACGCTGATGGTCACAGTGACGATAGAAAGAATTTCATTTTCTGATATCATCCCCCATCTCACTGCTAAGATCAGTGGCCTAGTTTGCTTTCCTGGCTTTTGTCAATCACAAACATTTAGGGCTCTCTCCTCCCTCTTTCTGGTAGAAGAGGGGGAGGCCATGAAAGCTGGGAGAAGGACACCCTGTGTGCCACAAATGTAAAAACATGGGCTAAGGGAGGCTAAGGGAGCTGCAAGACATTTGAAAGTCTCTGAGCAAAGGTTTCAGGAAGCTGGTGGGAGGGAGCTAGGGGGTGTCTGGGGAGAGAGAAGGGGCCGAGAACCATGCCAGAATCCTGGCACCAGCGGAGAAGGGGCCACTCAGGAAGGGACAGCTGAGGAACTCCAAAGGACAGGGATGTCTAACACTCCACTCTAAATTATCTGCTGACCTGGCTTACAATGTAAACCCTTGCCCTAACCCCCAGAATCCTCCGTGAAATCTACCATGTCAATGTGTCAGTGGTGTTGGTTGCAAACCAAGGAAAGGCGGTGCTTTTGCTCTCTGCTTCCTCTGTAAAGTTCTCCACCTTCAATTTTCCTGGTCCCGAGGAAGAGAAGGAAGGTGGGTGCCTTGATATGTATCATGCCCTCCATTCTCTCACTCCCATGGAAATTCATCCCATATTAATTTTAAGAGCTTTACGCTTATAGAAGGAAAGCATTGCAGTTCAGGTTGTCATTATTTTTTATATTACTTGGTAAGGGAAGAGTTAAAGCTTTCTCAGTGAGTATAAAATCAGCAAGTTTTTTGTTCTCAGAGTAGGATCTACTGAAGAGCCCCAGGAAGGGAGAAGGGCTTTGACGTTAGTGATGATTTTCTGTCGTGAAAAAGCCAGTCAGATGGGAGAAGTGTGGGGGAGGAGGCAGCCCCTTGGTTCAAAAGAATGAAAGTGAGAAAGGGATTTTGAGCTGAGTTTAATGATGCTGCTGCAAAAGTTGGCTTTACGTC